CTGCTGCTGCTGCTGCTGCTGCTGCTGCTGCTGCTGTTGTTGTTGTCGTTGTCTGAAAAAGCACACGATGGATGGGGCCAAAAAGAGGGTGTCCCAGCTTAATGAAGGTGTTGACGTTGTATCCACCTTCTATGGTTCAATAGAGACTCTTATCAATTGGATTCATAATAGTAGGCCTATAACCTTATATAGTGAGTGGGTACGGGAGATAGTTGGAAGGTCATTTTCTCTCACTCTTCGGATTCTTTTAGTTGATCTGTCTTGTTTTTTCTTTTCATTAAATACATGTTACTGTTAGGCCAAGGCTACTAGTACGCATGTATATCGGTGTGTTCCATTGTTAATTCAAAGTGGAAAAAAACAACAACTACGAGTTCATTTTGTGTGTATTTTGTAAAGAGCCTTGCGGAGATGAATATACTTATATATCACAACCTTGCATTGTTTGCATCTCGAGAGCCTTATAGTAGCAGTGGGCATCCCACTTCCCGTTTACCACACAGCTGACTCAGCGTGTCCGTGTTACCTTCTCTGTCTCTACTGATCCTTGTTATCGTGGAGAATTCGTTGTGACGTTGTGCCCAAAGTATTAAGCTACGGAGTTATCTTTGACGAGCTCGTCAGTTGTGTTCACTTATGATCTACTTTACTGTCCATTTTAAAGGTGAAAAGATCTTGTTAGATTATCTTATTGTCAATTGTTGGTGTCATTATTAGCATTATTATTTTTTATTTAAGTTTAATACATAATACGTTGTGAAATTGTGATAGGGTTGTGTGTATCCCTGGTGCAAACCTGAATTGGTTCGAGCCTATAGATCTACGTTCTTGCTTTGAGCGTCAAGGTTCGAGCCTTTTTATTTATAAAGTATTAGTAACGTGTTTTTATAGATGTCACTCTCAAACCCGTGCAGAGCCATTGTTCCCTCATACGCAAACACTCAAAAGCGCTTTGCCAAGCATTTACAAGTGAGTAAGATTGAGGTGTTTTTTTTAAAGACGTACGCTTTTACAAATTATTAATAATGTAATGAGGAAATGGCAGAGAGGTTGGGAAAGGGTGAAATGGGGGGGGGGGAAAGAAATAGAAATTTAAACTGCCAAAACTGGCATCAACGAACATAATTAAAACAGCGAGAAGTCCTATTAACTCTTTGACGTCACACATTCTTGTTTCTCGGTAACAATAATTACAAAGATTCTTCAATAATGTTTTCTTATTACTGAAACCTTAAAAAGACAGACAACACCATGCATGCTATTAGATATACACATTTAAATGTGTGTTTCTGATTTGTGTATGATGATACCAATATATGTCAAAACTGAAAAAATTGACTTTGTTGGTCTATTCACGGACATAGTGTTATGTGTTATGTGTCCCCCCCCCCTACCTGACTACTAAAGAGTTAAACTCTCTGGCATTATTTCGCTGTTCGGTTTCCTGTTCAACTGTTAAGCCGACTGCCGACTGCCCAACCACCCTTCTCCCGTAGTCCGTAGCCTGCTTGTCCGCAGCATTCAAGCGTTTGGCAACACTTGAGTTTGAGTTCTCTACAAAACGTGGTAGGCCTATTTTTTTATCAACTTCAACCCCTGCTTGTTGCTATCAGATCAAGGACGTTGACAAAGATGAACCAACAAGGATACTAATTAGTACTAGATATCTAGATCTATGTTAAACCTTACATTTTGTATGTTGCAGGTTGTTTATTTTGAGGGAAAAGGACATCTGTGACATCAACCATGGCCTTGGAAAGCATCTTGCTAAATGACCAAGTGTTCAGGATGGTGTGCATTGGTCTGATCTCCCTTCTCCTGGTCACCATGGTGCCACGGATCTTCCAGTTCCTCAAGTTGTTCCGGAAATTTCAGAGCTTTCCAGGGGATCCTAACTACTCTCTAATTTTTGGGAATCTTCACAAGGTGAGCATCATGAAATAATTTTCTGTGTCCTTTCTCGTGCTGCTGATATACATGACAATCTAGGCTTTTGTCTGGTGGTTTGTGTAGTTCTGTAGAACATAATTGCCTTCCGACCTGCAAGTGACACCTCGTGGATCAATTCTTGCTCACTATGCCATTATAATGTATGGCTTTGACTCATGCTGATAACTGAAATGTAACTGTGAAGCAGAGCCTGCTTTTATGAGACTGCAGAGGAAACTGATGTGGAGCTCAGGACAGCAGTTTAGGTCACTGCAGATGCAGGGGGTTTTTTTTGGCCGGCACTATTTCTCCGAACGTTCGGGAAAATAAAGCTGGGCACTATTTCTCCGAAC